TCAGTATTGATTAATGGAGTTGCGGTCTTCAAATTATGAAGGTATAGACTTTCAATATGTTAATGACTGTAAGGTCAAAAGGTAGCTAAAAAGTATCATCATCATCATCATCATTATACTCATGATTTCCACAACGCTTAACGTAATGTTGGTGTCTTATAAATGGCCAGCATCTAGTACAGTATTACAAATAAAACAAATACACAAATAACTGCTATGACGTCGCAGTCAGTAACACACTTTTTACTATGAATAGCACTGGCTTTCTTCATTTATTGTTTACACCTACTTGCAAGAAGGTTGACATACAAGAATAGAACATTTGTAATTGAGTGAGAAAGGAATTCATTAAAAGACAAAAGAAAAAGTTCAGCTTCAGTGATCTTCTTTTGCTTTTTAATATAATTCCTATTCCACTAAATCACTAATGTTCTATTTTCGTATGACAACGTTCTTGCAAGTAGGTGTATATGAACGATTGGAAAACCAACCTTTTGCGCTTGAGGTACACGTATGCAACTATCACAATCACTATGACAACAATGATCGCCAAGGTAACCACGACACTAACAACCGTCGACGAAACTCCACTTGCTTTCGCATCGAAATTTGGTTTCGCTGTAGTCTGAAATTAAAAAGATCAATGTTCGTAACTATAGCTGTAAAACTTTTGGTTTAATGCATCGGTCATGTTAAGTGATCCATAGTCCATTACTTACATTTGGAGCTAATGTTTTGGCGGTTGCTGGTATTACAACAGAAACGTTTGTTATAGGTATTGCAGAACTTGGACTTGTTGTAATAGAGATGACGTTTTCTGCACCTAAAGCCGACGAAATTAGATCGAAGTTAAAGTTAAAGTTACGAATTTTTTTAAAGAAAAATAAAGATTTTTTTGGTAGTACTCACACTGAAATGTTCCTTTAAGCTTGAATAAGAGGCAAGAGTTTTCTTGTTGACAAATTATATTCAGACTTATTATCCTGCCCAGCAAGTGGGCACTAATACGAGTACCAATTGTAACCTAAAGAATGAACAAGTGCCATATATTTTAACGAGATTGTTAAAAAGATGAAACTTTCTGAAATTATTATACAGCAATGATAAAAGGGTAAATTTTACACCGTGAAAAGATGAAAAAAACTTTGTGACGTTTCGGACGCTAGTCYTTCGTCGGAGTTTTTTWAAGTTTTTTTCCTCTTTAAACGGTGTAAAATTTATTTTTTTATCATTGTTGTTTCATTATAAACACCGACTCAGCTCACACTAGCTTTTAGCTAGTTATATATCTCTTTGAAATTATCATACATGAGGAAGTTGACGAAAGGCGCAATTAATAATCGCAAACCGATTTCTTGCCAAACTTCAAAACCTGAAAAGGTTTTCTATATCTCTTGTCGCGCCTATATTACATCATCTTGCTCTCTCTCCCACACATCTAAGGCTATAACAAACGTCTAACTAACCCTAGGCCGGCTGTTAACAGTCCTCCTTTCCCCGGCTTCATTAGAGTCGATTTTTTTCTAATTTGATCGCGCGGGGAGTTGGGGTGGGTGTACCTAAACAAAGCCAACGAAAAGAATTTGCTACAAAACGAGTTAGCACACATCCCCTTGACAGCTATATCCCCAAAGACTTTAAATCTGAGTTAAAGCAGTAATTGAAGGATTTAAAACGATTTTCGTTACACTTTGTCAGGTTTGTAACGGTGTTATCAGTCTGTACTTGTTTTATGAACTTTTGCTTACATTGTATGTATGGCCATTTGGGGAAAAAAGTCCTCTGTATTGGATGCTAAACCATTGGCTAAACGACTGTGAATCGATCCCAGCCGAACTACCATCACATTTGAAGTATCGAGATTTCGTTTGGTCAACTGAACATCCACTTGAAGGCAGAATTACGTTGTAGTGTGTACTTTGGTCCAAGATCCTGATCGGGTAGCCATCTAGCTCAGATTGGAACTTGTATTTACAATTGCCTTGTAAACGGTAAGTATGACAGTCATGAGACAAAAGTTTCCCTTTAGTTTTATACCTCAAACCAGAAATTCATAAACCTCAAATTCTTGATTATAGCCGGAATTTAATTTAAAATTTGTTGTTGTTTTGAAAAACAAATCACCCATGTCGGTTATGAAAATGAGATATTGAATCCAGTAAATCCTAAATACTGAGTACACACGAACTCGATCAACTGATATTTTGATGAAATCCACCAAAGAAAAGGCGACATAATATAAGTATCTGTTTTAGTTATCGCTTTAAGACCTTCGCTGATAAAGACCTTTTGCGTCACCTATCTATCAAAGTACAGGTTTAGATGCACAAAGCGAATCTATTGATATCGAACTGAGCGGAAATACAAACTAACAAACCTGTTTGTTTTCTGACTTCAGTGTTAGCCAGACATGTCCAGGATCCAGAGTAGAAACCAAACGTGGCTTTCTTAAAATCGGAACATTCACAATGACAAGGCTGTGAATCGAGAGGTAGAGCTTTCCAGTTTGTGCAGTACGTGCTACTGCTACTGCTACTGCATTTCGAGTCAGGAAGTTTAAACTGATCCACATCAGTCCAATGATCTCCATCACCAGGATTTCGTATAATTGTAATCATATCTTGACTGACTGTAAAATAGACCTGTGTTAAAAAGACGAAATGGCCGAAAGACGTCAAGACCTCCATGGTCGGATTCTAAATTCAGGTATTTATTACGACAAATAATAAATATGTTATAGGCATGGTTTCATGGGTTTATGATGTTGACGGAAATAGGACTATATATTGCACTCGTCTTTAGACGTCAATTATAACACACCACAGGGACCCCAACTTCATGACTTGCATCAGTTTAGAGCAAAAAAACTGCGCATGTGTTTTTTTGTGTCATACCCATCAATCCACGCGGCGGACAAAGTGGTGCACGGTGTCCGAGGTCTCATTCTTTTATTAAAGTTGGTYCACGTTTGCAATAAAAGTAAATAGCAAGCACTAATTTGTATAGGGAAAATGCTGTAAAATGCTTATATAAATAGCTTTCGCTTGTTATGAGCGGAAACTCCACCTTCCTCCTAATATCTGGTGTCGAGTTTCTCTTTTCATTTCTGATGCTAATTTTAACCAGTTGACACAGCTTCTCTTTTTAGGGAATAAGTCACATGACCTGATACTGAAAGTCGTCATAAGCCAAAAAAGGAAACCTTCCGATTCCGACGACCATTGGACTCCGATCACGAATCCTTTTTTTAATTTTGTTTTTAACTCCGTCATAAGCTGTTTCTGATTTCGATTCCGTTGCTAGCTGAATCAGTAAACCAGCCATTAATAAGAAATGCACAAATATACAAATACGTAGCGAGTAGGATAATCTAGTTTGGACTGCGGCGTTATGTTTAAATTAGGGGCATTTGGATGAAAATGGATAAAAATTGGAAATGACTTTAAACTTAGTTAAACGTATCTGTATGACCCCAATAGTAGCCAAGCAACATATTTTCTTCACAGCAAAATGTGTCGGATAAAAGTTATTAATTTTATGCAGCATGATAAACTGTGAGTAAATCAGTGACGTCATTTACTCAACCCTATATTGTTCTTTTCTTTTAACCCAAAATTTCTCAAATGCAAGTGGCTCCCAGGCGAAAATTTTGACTAATCTGGTTTACATAATCATAATTGAGTCAAATTATCCGCAAATACTTCAATTATTCGGACTTTGAAAAATTGGGGCGTTTTCATCCAGGTGCCCCGTTAAGAATTATTCCTTTTCAACTTAGACTCATCAGCAACCGTTTTTCGTATCGGGTCGAAAACGGCTGCCGAGGAAACTATTTCCTACTCCGTCAAATCAAAGTCCAGTAAAGCTAAGTATTTTTAAAGGTTTTCTTTACAATATTTTATCAACCATTTATCCTAGTTTGCTTTTATCCTGGTTGTTTTTTAGTTTCATTTCCGAAAAAGATGATCTCCGTTTTTTAGTGTCAATGCAAACTACTTTGACGATCGTATTCTTCTTTGTTGACTCGAAAGCTTTCCTCTTCTTTGGAGTCACATGACAGCTTGAGGTCCGTTAGGATTGGCTTTCCCAATCGAGGCGCTCATACGTCCGTGTTTACGCTTGTTGTATCGGGCTCCTCAAGGACTAGATACTCTGGCTCGAGGACCTGAGACGGAGGTCCCTCATTCACGGTATTCTCTGGCGCCATAATAATATTGTTTTCAGCAAGGGGACGTTCAAGGAAATTATACACGGGACCATCATCTGCAGTGGAGTATAATGCCCCTTCCTGATTAAGCCCTTGTTGTTTGTGCTCCAGTCTATTATATGGAGCTGGTTGGGGTGCTATATATGCTGTCTGTGGGTCGTCAAATGCGTAGCTATATATACCTTAAATGTAAAATGCATAATATATAAGGTCGACCAAGCATTCCAACATTTCAAACATTCTCGTACCCAGGCCTGTAAACCACGCGTAATCTGATAAGCAAGATCTTTATCTCATTTTTCTCTTTCTATTATTTCAAATTCTATTTGACGTTGAGCTTTTTTCCCCTTTTTTCCTTGATTTTAATTGATTAAAAGTAACCGGAGACCATACTCTCAGACCTGAATGCTGAAGCATTGTATGGTAGCGCGAAGTATTTACGGCTATGCCCAGAGATTTCGACCCCGACACCGCTATCCCGGGAGGAATTGCAGACTGATTAGGGAGCTCGGCCGGAGCCTAAGAGAGAGGTTAGTCGGCCCCTAGACCGTAGATGATTAACCCCTTGCTATGACCAGCATACCAGAAATGTTGTTTGTGTCGCTCAGTCATGACTACGCACCCATGGTCCCCCCTTTCCATGTGGGATGCGTTTTGACCAAACGCGACGTACATTTTCTTTCCAATTCGGGGTAAGGATTTAAAAAGTTCATATTCCTTAAGGAACAAGTTTATTTTACATTTTCGTTTCCAAAATTGAAAGTACCTGAACGTGTGGATATGCATATTCGCAATTTAATCCTTACCTCCTGCCTGATCAACTGGTGCGTTCATGTTACGTTGTTCTTCAGGGATCTCAGCATAGACAGGGTCTTCATCCACCGTCTTCTTCTTCGCTTGTGTTGATTTTGTTTTCCTGACTAATAAAGAAATTCAATCCACGTTTAAAAAGATGATGACTACTGATCCTAACCACTAATTCACTTTGTGGCATGATATATCTATAAGTACCAAAATCAATTGTATCAGGATTCCAGAAAGCATACCGTGCCCGGCCGTATCATATATAATTGTACTGGTAAAAAACAAGGATGAGTGTCTTACCGCGGCGGGAAGAGATATAATCTACGAGCCATACCGCTTCACCCCTGAAATACAATGTCAAATCAGTTTGGTATCGTGCCGGTTTACCTACACCGGCTTTTTCTGTTACTGTGCTTCTCAATAAGTACGCGCAATCGTCTTGGTTTAGGTGGACGTCAATCAAGGCGTTACCATGAGATTAAATAGAAACGTACCTTCTTTTTGTTTTCAGACAATATCATGGAAAGTAAAACTTCGATTGACGTCCACCAAGTAACATTTTGGGCATGTTTTCGTACACCGTCTTTTTCTGTTACAGTGCTTCTCAATAGGCAAGCGCGGAATTGTCTTTCATGGTCAAGGTGGACGTCAATCAAGGCGTTACCATGACATTCCATAGGAACCTGCCTTCAGTGAAAATGGTGTGTTTTCATACAATGTCATGGAAACACTCTGAAAGTGCACCAAAACTCTATTTTTCCGCGACTATAAATAGATACAGCGCGTACTAGCATGCCATATCTCGGCCACTAGAGATGACTAGTTGGCCTAACCCAGTGAAAAACCTTTCCATGCATAGCCCTTCAGTGATCGCTATGAATGATTAGCAACAAACCTTTTTCGCTTGAGGTACACGTATACAACTATCAATATCGCTATGACAAGAATGATCATCAGGGTAACCACGATGCCAACCACAGTCGACGAACCTCCACTTGCTTTCGATTTCTCTTTTTTCCCACTTTCATTTGGAATTGCTGTGGCCTAAAAAATATTTTAAGCGATGAAACATGATCGTTTAATGTTTTATCAAAGATCCGTCGCCCTTTACTTACATTTGGAACTGCTGATACTGTTGCTGTTGCTGTTGCTGTTATCGGTATTTTGTCAGACGCTATTCTTGTAGGTGATGATGGTTTTGCAGTTGTCGCGAATGTGACGTTTTCAGCACCTTAAACCAACATACAACCAAATTTATCAATTCTGATAAACTTATCTTCCTCCCCAGGTGTCTCTTTTCTTTTACGTTCTYGGCATCGTTGGAATCCCTCTGTGATAATGGAAGGGAGATGTGTTGGGGAGAGAACACGGGTCGCTAGGTCTCAGTCTCCTACGGCTTATCACCACGGGTAGCCCGCCGACAAATTATATTGAATAGACCTTTTTACTGATACGGCAGCCATCTCGAAATATGGGATACCGAGGGGGCAAAACTAGAAAATTAATAATGCATAGAGTAGCGGGGTGACCCAGTTTTCAAATAAATTGGAGTCTTGGTGTTTTGCATATTGTTCCAATTGCCTGGAAATTCAATTGCTTTTTAGATGTGCTTATCTAGTTGAAAAGCGTAAAGTTATATAAAAAGACATCCTGCCAGCTGTGCAGTCCAGAGATTGCCCCCTCGGCATCCCATAATTTCTTGCATAAGGCAATAGAATGCAAGATGACGACCCGCCGTATCGGTAAAAAGGTCTATTAAGTTTCAAAGCAAAGAAAGACGCCTGTGATTAAATGATTAAATAATTTAAATAAGAGATGTTTTTTAAACTTACAATCTATAGTTCCTTCGAGCTTGAATAAGAGACAGGATGTTTCTCGTTTTGTGCAATTAATATTCAGACTGATTATTCTTCCCTGTAAAACATCATCAACGTCAGACCCGATCGTTAGCTGAGATAAAAGAAAAAAAGCACTTTTAAGTATTAAAAATAATATAGGTCAGTTAACGAGAAATATGTCATACTACTTGTGGGTTTATAAGGTGGTTCGATTCTCATAGTAATTTCTTCTTTTAACCTACAACATGCATGCACCCCAAGAATGAACACGATAATTTATGTAATAGTAATGGTCGTCGTTAATGAACAAATGGTACCAACCTTGTATCTATAACGAGTAGGCCTTTTCAATTTGTCCTCTTGAGTGATTGTAAACCACGAATTCGAATCGATTGTAGCCCAACTGCCATCACACGTAAAATAACGCGTTGTTTTTGATTCTACTGAACATCGTCTGGAAAGCAGGATTAAGTTGTATGATTGATCTTGCTCCACGATCCGTAGTGGGTATCCTATAACTTCGGATTCGAACTTGTATTTGCACTCTGAAAAGTGATTAGTTTCATAAAGTGAAAGTGTTTTTGTTATATAAAAACTCCTATAAAAATGCCCAGTGAAATTTCTAAATGCTTGAGGAAATACCATCAAACCCTGTAACAACTGTCAAGATGATCTAAATACATAAGTCTATTGTTGTTTTGAAAAAACAAATCAATCAAGTATTGCTCGTCGTTTTGCGGATACATTCTAACAAATCACATTACACCTAGGATTGAGTACGTTCTACTTTGCCCATATCAATTATTTTTCTGACATTCAGGGTTTTTTTTTTTTCAAATCTACTTTCCTCATGCAAAGTAACAAATGCCAATTTATAGGCGAAAACATCAAATGACATCAAATGAAACGAGCGGAAATAGACGACATTCAGTTCGGAATAATAAACAAGTGCTCACTACAAACCTGTTTGTTTTCTGACTTCAGTGTTATCCAGACATGTCCAGGATCCTAAGTAGAAACCAAAAGTGGCTTTCTTAAAATCGGAACATTCACAATGACAAGGCTGTGAATCGAGAGGTAGAGCTTTCCAGTTTGTGCAGTACGTGTTACTGCTACTACATTTCGAGTCAGGAAGTTTAAACTGATCCAAGTCAGTCCAAAGTCCTCCATTACCAGGATTTCTGAATATTGTAAGAATTTCTTTTCCATTAGCAAAATACAGTAACTGCAGTAAGAAAGCAAGAAAGACGAAATTGTCGAAGGAATTCAAGACCTCCATAGATTCTGACATCTGGTATTTATTACGTCGAAAAACGAATATATAATAGTTTCACTTTATGGCTTATGATTCTTCACCGGAAGTCAACAAAAAAAATGTCAATCATACCACACCACAGGACTCCCAAAACTGTTACTTGCTCGACAAAGAGGCAAAGAACCGAAGCAAATTTAACGTCAGTTGCAGTCAGAAAGAAATAAAAAAAGGTCATTTACTTTTTTTTATAATTCTCAATAAATTTCTAAAGAAATAACATATTTAAAAGTTAGTTTCAGTCGTGCTTGTGATGTATGTGGGTTCCCTGCGTCGTACCCATGAATCAACGCGTGTGCGGTTACATTTCCTTGGAAAACAGTTCACTTGCTCGCTCACATTTTCTAATTTTTTGAAACTTCACTAAGTTTAATTCTAATTTATCGTTAAACAAAATAATAAACAAATAATAAATACAATTTACATCGATCATTGCAAGTAGTAAAGCCACAAAGAATTAACACTTTCACCGTATCTCCCTAAAAGCTTTTACTTCATTCTACGATACACTATTAATTTTAAAACATGTAGGCTGCCATGAAATTCAGTTTCACTTTCTTGTATGTTTGTCTATGATGATTGGTAGTTCTGGCATCAGATTGTTATCCTTGAGTTCCTGATAGACTCCTTCTGCTGTCTCAGGAGCACTTATTCACCTCCGATTGGTACCTCATACTCTTCATCATTATTTAACATTGTTACATAATCTCCATCATCAGTTAAAATCATCGCACCATTCTGCTCTTTTGAACTTGGAAGATCAGTCAATTCCTTATTGATGTATCCCAAGTTCCCACTCTAATTGTAGTCGCTAATATRTTCCTCCCTTTACTACCCCCCTGGGTACTATTTTGTCCACCGGCTCTTGTTTTTAGCACGAAGTCATTGATATGTCTGTCTTCGTAGTCAAAGTTGGTTTGGTTTTCATTCAGACTTGGGTCGCCAGAAAACTCATAATCGTATGCATTATCTGTAAACGGAAAGAAAAAAGTTCGTATTCTCATTTGGTAAATACCGCTGTAATCTTTGAATACAGGCTCATTTGTGCAGCAGCAAAAGTCAGCAATAATTCAAATAATTTTCAGCTTGGACGTTTATTTTCTAAAATCCCATTGATATTTTCTGTTGGTATCTTGGTATCTGTAAATAGTCGGGAAGTAGCCGGGTATCATAGAAAACAGTGTTGTGTATCATCATTTTGGAATTTGGCCAAAAAATTTGGATGGCAAGTTGTATGATAGACTTCCGTTACAGCACGGTTCTGTCGTCTATATTCCTGCATATTTTTCAGTTACTATTAATAAATTCCTGAGAATCTACTGAAGCCGCTCTATTTTAGGTAAATTACCATTCTTCTGATTATCTTGTAAGCCGTTTCCGTTCTGCTGTTGGTTCTTCACATCTGATACTTATTAAGGGCGGATTGGCCTTTATTGTCACTTCACTTTAAGTATACAAGCCACAATCTACTTACTTATATATAAAGGGGGGGGGGGGGGGGGGGGGGTACTCCCCTATATTTGTTATACGGGTATGTATATGCAGTGAAGTCTGGGGTTCTGAGGTTTCTAAAAATGACCCTATAGAACTTGTTCATACCAAATTTTGCAAAATGTTACTCGGAGTGGGAAAATATGCAACCAATTCTGCCTGTTATGCAGAACTAGGTCGACTCCGTCTGCATGTAGCTGCAAACTTAAGATGCATAAGATACTGGCTTAATCTAGTTACACCTACATCGAGCCATAAAATTACATTCTTAGTATATAAAGAAATGATAAGCTCCAGCCGTAAAATTYGCTGGAGCCAAAAAGTAAAAGAGTCATTATTAAAAAATGGGCTGGGTGATATATGGCTAGAAGTAAATTCCAATACCTCTCGCCAGCCAAACGTCTTTGTTACTATCAAATCGAGATTTGTAGACATAGAGAAACAAAATTGGCTCGGGGAGATCTTTAACGATTAAAGGGACACCCCTGGCCAAAAGAACAAATTAAGAACGTATCGCCTCTTCAAAGTTAGTTATACGTTAGAAGGTTACTTAATAAATGTAAAAAAATTCAATCACAGAAGAGCCTTAACTAAGCTGAGAATAAGTAACCATGACCTAGAAATTGAAAGAGGCATATACTCTAGTTACAAGAAGGTATTGGAAAGGAAGTGCTTTCATTGTACTGATATAATAGAAGATGAAAGACACTTCTTAATTAAATGTCCTCTATACTCCAAACTTAGAGAAGAGTTTTTAATRCAAAATAACATAAGTAACTTCCTTACGGAGGAACAATTGTTCCTGAATTTGATAGATCCTCCCCATATTTTACAACCAGCTGCAGCAAAATACGTTTACAATTGTTTTGCTCTGCGGAGTGAAAAAAAGCAAMAACAACAAAACAAATAAAAATCAATACTTTTATAATATTGCATAAAGATGATTAGGATTAGTAACGCATTTTATCGAAATAATTATATGAACATTATATATACAGAATATATATGTACGTATGACGTGTATGTGTGGAATATGTGAATATAGATATTATGCACATACATAAACATACGTATATATTCATTACTTATTTGGATCTAAGTTGATGTGCAACTTTGTACAAAACGCCAAATAAAATATGTCTGTCTGTCTGTTTGTCTATGTGCCGCCCTATAGGGTATGGTTTTTCAGTTTTTGGGTCTAGGGTAGGGTATCATTTTTTGCCATTTTGTCTGGGATAGGGTATCATTTTTGTCTGGGATAGAGTAAACGATTTGGTCGTTTTTGTCTGGCGAATAGGCTACGCTTTTTGACGGCACAAAAACAATAAAAACGTTAGTAAATATTGATTGC